ATAATAATAATATAAAGGCCTCTGATAGCATTCCATTGACAAAAACCTAGCAGATAGGCACGAGTAGAGGGAAAATATAGCTGAAATGAATTATATCTCCCTAGTTTGTTTAGGCATTCTCAATTCTAGCTCCAGATCTGCTAAGCTGGTCTCTTTGATCATACAAAGCCTTGGCACTAAAACCTGATTGTTTATCTGAAGCTTTATCTAGGCCTGGTGTGGATTAGCCTGAATAGTATATTTTACAATAGATGTTGTAAATAGCTAATACCACAGTAATTGTCCTGCACTGTTCAGCCAATTCCCTACAGATCGCCTGGTGAATAAGGAAGGAATGTGTGGTATCCTACTGAGTCATAAACTGAGAGTCACCATATTAACCAGTTGACATCCGCGGTGTTAATCCCCCTTCCCATCCAGGCCATTTTTCAGTATTCAGCGCTGCGGTACTTTGACTGACATTTATTCCGTCATGCAGCGCTGTACTGAAATGAATTTTATACCCTTTTTTGGGGACAGATAGAGCTTTCTTTTGGTGGTATTTATTCACCACTGGGGTTTTTATTTTTTTACTATATTAAGGAAAAATCAACGAGAATACCTGTCTCTACCCTTGGAAGGCCCTTGTTGTATTTTGTAACACTGCGTTATATGTAAGTAAGAACATCTTTTACGGCCTATGAGGACCAATATTGTGCCTTGCCGCTATTCCCTGTTATTTGTGTGGAAAATGTGAAAAATAAAGAATTTATAAAAAAAAAACAATGCAAAATTCCTTAAAATAACATGCCTGGGAAATACCCTAAACCGGCCTGTGAGTTGGTGCATCTGTACAATGTACTAGAGCAAAATTGACATTAAGAAAGAAAACAAAACCCATTTGACGGTAAATTACATTTTCCTGCCTGCTTGATTTGAAGAAGAAAAAAAAAAGATGTGGGGTTCCCCCTTAGAATTTTGCACCAGACCCTTATTCTTGATGAGGGTCTGGTACTGATTTTAAGCGGAATTTTCACTCAGAAAAATTGTGGAGGTGGGGGGAGCAGCAATCAAGGCAGGAGTTTGTATCAATTTGGATGTAAGGGAGGCAGGTGAGCAGGAGTGGTAAGGTGATTCAAGAGTCCCTGAGAAATATAGACTTGCCCTCATCCAAGAGATAAAAAAGTTGATCCAGTAAAACCATGTTTTATAGTATAACTTGTGTTTGTTCTGTAAGGAAAGAGTCAGATGTTTGGTTTGTCTAATGTCCTTCACTTTACTTAAAAACAGAGAGATTGACAAGGGGAGGGAGTCTATCTTTTAGGTCAGTTGTTTAGGTTGAAGCATACTTGTACTAAGCTAAAATATTATAAGGAAAAAGGTGTAATTTTTAAGAAACAAAATCTAAGAAAAATAATATGAAGAAGGTTGGATAGAAGACACCTATAGCACAAATATGAACGAATAGGAGATCTATGTACATAGTTACATAGTTAGGTTGAAAAAAGACAAATGTCCATCGAGTTTGACCTAAATAAATAATTTAAGTAAGTAAATACCTAACTAATAAAAGAGAAATGCAGGGTGCACCATGTGATAGGAAGGAGATCAGCTTTTGCACTCATTTAAATAATAGGACTTTCAATATCAAGAGAGCCCTAAGTCATAATTGGAACATTTTGAAAGAAGAACCCATTGTGAGTAAATGTTTTCCTGGCAGACCCACGGTTATTTACAAAAAGCCACAGCATTTTATGAGTTTGATTTTAGCCAGTAGAGTTAGAGATCAAGCAATAAGGTACGTAGTTATTTTCTATTTTAGAGTGGCAGTTGTAGATCAGGAGCTGAGTAGCATTCTGCCCAATGTGGCATTGTAAAAAAGCTGAAATGGGGTCTGATGGTAAGACACATACTATCAAACAGTTTATAAACTGTGGGACACAATTCGTAGTGTATGGGTTAATTTGCCCGTGTGGGCTAATTTATGTTGGCTCTGTCTACTGTGTCTTGTTTGCAGTAGCCAGATGTATATAGGCATATTATAAATGTCAAGCTGGAGCAACCAACTATAAATAAATTGCATTTATTATATTTTAGGAATGACTGCGAAAAAGATGCTGTATCAATAGCTGTCATCAACAGTGTGTCATCATTATATGCTTCTATTCCAATATTTTGCATTTTGGGATTTAAAGCAAAACATGCTTACTGGGACTGTTTGGACAGGTAAAAATTATAAAATGTTTGCACAAGTGTTTTGTTGCCATGTTTTATATAAAATAGGAATAAAGCAAATGTGTCATTTTAATTTCAGAAATATTATTTCCCTATTAAATGAGTTTGATATAAGTGAGTGGAACATTACAAGAAATAACTACATTGAGGTTTCTCATAGTCTCAATGCTACCTACCCTGAAAGAATTAATCATCTTATGTTAAAAGAATGTACTCTTCAAGAATTTTTGGATCAGGTAATTATCTTTACTTTTTAAAGGGTAGGTCTACCCGAAATTATATTTAAATAAAGGTGGCATTTTGCTTACTCTAGGTATTTTTTTTATCTCTTGGGAGCTCTCACTGCCATACATTTTAGCTTCTACCTATTCCCACGCACCTCTAGGTATTTTCACTCCATCTGCATTCTTCATAACATGGAAAATCCAAATGAGATAGCGGGATCCCCTGGTAATGGCTGCAAGCATTTCAACCTTTGAGAAGATCTTTACTCTAGAATCCTCAAGATACGTAAGGAACATACAAACTATGGGCTATGTAATGGCCATAATTAAATCTTAACTGATGGCAAACAGTGAAATACACAGATAAAATACATATAAATGCCAAATGATTTGTATTTCTGTCCACCCAATCCTTAGATTTAAACTGCCCAGGCAGACAGCACAGTCGGGAAGATTAGACTATTTTTAATGTTCCAGTTTTGGACTGTAGAAGGCATAGATTGGTGTCTTCTCTCCACCGCCAGCTGGTTGAGAGGACAGTGAAAGAGCTGACTAATAAGGCAATTTCTCTGTCACTCTGCTCTCTTCTCCTATCATGTTCCTTGTCAGTACATTTTTTGGGTAATTCTCGAAATTCAAATCAGACCCGAAGGAAAGGAAGGGGCAGCGGGTGTACAGCCTGCCATCCCCTCAACCATACCAGGCCACATGCTCAAAACAATGGGAGGATACTTTGCAAAGTTGTCCCACCCCTTGGAAAGCACTTAGTCCAAATGTTGATGAGGACAAGAGCCTCATTCCCATCCACCAGGCTATGGATGTGATGGTCTGCAGGAGGAGACTTAAAATAAAAGAATCTGAAAGCCCCCTTTAAAAAAAAGAGGGCTCCAAGACATCCGGCATACATGTAAATGCAATGTCAATCACATCAATCATCCTGCAATGTAGAGCCAACATCAATCACGCTGAATGACACCAAAACAACCCCAAATGCTACAACTGCTTCTCCCCCCACAACCTCGGTCACAAATGTGAGCTCCCCGGCTGGCTGCTGAATGTCAAGAGACCGGCTGGGGATATCCCAAGTAATGTCACTGATACCCGGCTGGTTTGTTCACATTCAGCATCTGGCTGGAGAGCTGTCATTTGTGATAGGAGTATCGACAGGATGATATCATTGTGGCACGTGTCACCTGATTTACCTTGCTTCTACATCATTGAATCACTTCGTTGACATTGGATTTACATTGGAGGACAACGTTTTATTTTTACTTTTTCACTGTGTCTGTGTGTTTTGTTTACTATTTTCTGTGAACTAGTAAACAAGGGGTTATATACTGTATACCTCGGACTTATTCACATGGGAGGGGGGTTATATGGGAGACACCTTAACTTAAAATGATATTAAAGCCTTTTTTTCTCCTTTAAGGAGACCCTCCTTTGCTAAAGGCTTTTGCTCTTTTTCTTTAAAAGTTTTTATTTCCTCGTTTTCTAGTGCCACCCCACAGCGCTTTTCCCCCCACCCCCTGCACGGGTGCCACCATAGTTCTAGTGGAGGCAACCATGCATGCTCGTGCCCGCTCGTTTCCGCAGTGGCTGTGTGCGTCCATAGACACACACACAGCCCTGTGGCAGGCCACGCCCCTTCCCTCTTCGCTTGATGGCAGAAGGAGCCTATGGCTCCTCTGCCATTAGTATCCTCCCTCCGCAACCCGAAAGTTCAGGGAACACAGGATCACTTTGGACCGACGGCGGGGACGAGCGCAGCTGACAGGTAAGTGTGGGGGGGACTGAGGGGGACTGGGGTAGAAAAAAGGTGCTGGGCCATTTTTACCCTAATGCACAGAATGCATTAAGGTAAAAAAAAACAGACCTTAATAATACTTTAACAGAAACATCCACTTCCATCCCCTTTACAGAAGTACATCGTACGTGTAAACATTAAAATGCACATTTTAGGCCTATAAATTGCTTAAAGCACTTATTTTCTGAAAGCAAAGACCCTAGAGAATAAAATGGTGTCAGTTGCATTTTTTTTATATATATTACACAAAACTTTATCAAACCCAAATTATCAATAAAAAATGCATTTGAATTAATTTTAACGCACATAAACACAATGTAATACCAAATTTTTTCATAAAACATAAAAGATGAGGTTGCAGTGAGTAATTAGATACCAAGCATATTAAGCCTCACAATTGCGTGCACCCATAAAATAGCAAAAAACATTGGAACCCCAAATTGGCCCCTAAGGCTACTCTTTTAAAGACTGTACAGGTCATTAATTTAGAGTTACTATGAATAATACCCCTAGAATTACTGCTGCCACTGCCAGCATGCATGCCAATTTCCAACGTGTGTGACGTAATTGTCGTTTTCATTGATGGGTGTGTTTTTGTTTATGTATGCGTTTGATATTTGTGTTATTTAGTTTTTCAGGATTCGGGTGTGAAAGTCAATTCGGATTCGGAATTTGGATTCGAACATGGGGTCGGCTTTGTGACCAAGAACAGGCTCAAGATTTTACTCCTATTTCTCCTCTCACCTTTCCTGGTAAATCTTACCATTACCGGTTCTCTATCAGGAAATATCCACGAGTTAACTTCCACTCTTCCCTTTATCTGCCAATTAAACACTAATTTAACCAAAGGCTAGCATTATAGTTACTGCCATAGAAGTGGACATTGGCTCCTACCACCAACTCTTAGAGTGTGCTGTACCCCCTAAAAGATACATAGCTACCAATTTTTCCAAAAGCCATCCCTGTGCTGCAAGGCCACATTGTAGGCAACATATCATCATTCCTGGATCAGCAGCCAAGGAAAGTACATATCTTTAACAACATTTTGATTCAATGTATTGGGTACTGTATGTAGCACAAAGCAGGTATGTGGTTGACCAGTTGTTCAGATTAAGTCTGGTGTCTCCCTCTCCTCTCTTCCTCCTTCTGGTTCAAATCCATGTCACTGACAGGAAAATTGTCAATTGTTAACCACCAACTCTATATGAGCCTTAAAGAAGGGGCTGCACCTAGCCACCTGCTTGTGCTATGTCTTTATTAGATGATTGCTTGCTAGGCTGACCATATTTTCTTAAGCAAAAAACGGGACATTAAGATGGCAAAAACGGGACGGTTTTAATATTCCGTATTCTTAAAAAAGTAGGATAACAAAGGTTTTATGAAAATATAGTAGATGTGTACAGCATAAAGTTTTGGACAAAATTAATTATTATGCTGTTTCGGATTCAGAGCCATGTCCCCAGAGCACAATACATGTCCCCAGAACACCATACATGTCCCTAGAGCACCATACATCTCACCAGGCTGCGATCTCACCCAGGCGGTATGTGGATCTCTGCAGGGCTCTGCGGGCAGTGGCTATGCTGTGGAGAGTTGATTGGGCGAATGCCGTCTCCAGAGCTGTACTGTGTTGTGTGTGGGGCTGTCCAAGGCTGTGCCTGTGGCGGGAAGGAGGAGATATAGAACCGGACAGGCACTGCCAGTGATAGCTACAGCCAGGTCCCCAGCAGACTGCTGAGGTCCCCACAAGCACGGGAACTCAGCAGCCGCTGAGGTTTAAAAATGTAAAAAAATCTTGTGTTTTGGCGTTGGATCTTTTGGGTGAACCAGTTGTTGCCGCAGTGGGTTTAAAGCAGACAGGGAAGAAGAGACAGACTTTACTTCACTTCAGATAATGAATGTGCTTTTCAATCCAAATGCTGTACCACATCTTTGCAAGCATGGTGTGTTGATTCAGGAGCTACGAGTCACATGACAAAAGACAGAAATGTCTTCATTAATCTTGACCAGAGTAAAACAGAGAAAATTACAACCACTAATGGACAAATAATGGCATCAGCAGGAATAGGAGACGGTTTTCTTTAGTGTCCTATATCCCAGAGTGTCACCAGAAAAAATAACTGTGAAAAATGTTTTGTATGTGCCTGGTCTTAAAACCAATCTTTTGTCAGTAAAGAAGCTCACAAAACAAGGGAACATAGTGACTTTTCAGGGTGACAATTGTGCCATCACAAAAGGTGATACCTTGTTGGCAAAGGATAAAATCACAGATGAACTATATCAGCTGAACTGCAATGAAATGGTTAAAACTGCCAAAGAGGGGAAACATTTAAACTGCATCCACACTTGACACAGACAACGTTGATGTGGAAGGGGGATAAATGATGGGGTAGGATCTAGGTATTCTTGCTAATGGACTTTTTAACATTTCATTGCTATTCTGTAGCTTTCTGTATACTTTTTTGCATTTAAAATTTGCATGGAGGCTTGGCAAGTGCCAATTCAGTGTGATAGGCTGCCTTAATGGGATGGGCATAGGTGTGAATGGGTCCTCAGGGTTTAAGGGTTTAAGGATTTGTTTTTTTTTAGCAGAATTTAATATACGCGTAGACCCATTATTTAACCTATGCAGCTATAAAATTATCTATAATATAATGACATGACTAATATTTACTTTTATATTGAATCATTTTTTTTTCTCTTGTAGAGTGCTTCTGGTACTGGTTTGGCATTTATTGTTTTTACGGAAGCAATTATTCAAATGCCAGGATCCCAAGTGTGGGCTATTCTCTTCTTCATAATGTTGTTTACCCTTGGACTGTCTTCAATGTTTGGAAACGTTGAAGGAGTATTGACACCTATATTAGATCTTAAAATATTTCCAAAGTCTGTTCCAGTAGAGGCTATATCAGGTAAGCTTATGCACTTGACACCATATATGTGTTTTTAGAAGTGTATTATATCATCCATTATATATTTCAATGCAATTTCTTCTATCAACAGAAGTGACCTGCTGTGTACAAAAGCATACCTCCTAACTTTCTGGGATTAAAAAGAGGGACGTCCTTCAGCACAGTGTATTTAGACAGTGGACACACCCCTGCCACGTCCCCAGTTACGCAGTTCATTAAGAATTTATATGCCAAAAATGACTGGTTAAACCCAGAATAGTTTTTTCTTTCACCAATGCTTTTCTGTTTTACTGGCTTTTATTAATAGCAAACACGATAATTAAGAAATAATTTACAAAGGTACATTTGCATAGATATCTGTATAGCAGTCCAAGAAGCGGAACAACTGAAGAGGGTCAGAGAGATTTGGTTCCAAATGGGGGACCGTTGGGAGGTATGCAAAGGTAGGCCCACAATGGCAACACTGCTGCATAAGCAAAGTGTCACAATATTTACTAGACATGTGCTATTCCTTTCGTTCCGAATCGAAATTCTGAATTTTCGGAAATTCGGAAGTATCCGAATTACAGACATAACGAATGCAAACGAATCCGAATTTCCATTTCCGAAATTCGGTAGCGGTAGTTCGAACGTTCGTTTTGTTTTCGGTTTGTATTCGTTTCTTATTCATTTCGTTCGTTGGAGCAAAGTGACATTAGAGAAGGAGAAAAATATTTTTTCCCCCTCAAATGTCACTTTGCTACGAACGAAACGAATAAGAAACGAATAAGAACAGAAAACGAAACGAACGTTCGAACTACCGCTACCGAATTTCGTCCGAATCCGAATTGACTTCCACACCCGAATCCCGAAAAACGAAATAACACAAATCCGAATTTAAAACAAAACGAAACTAAACGAATTTTTTGGCAGTGAACATGTCTAATATTTACAAACTTGCAACCAACATCACTGACCCCTTGTGATCCACTCAAGTCAAATTTCCATTGTTGCTATCAAAGTGTCTTGCAAGTCTCACCTCTTCTCCGAAATTCCTTTCCACATACCTGTCTATCGCACTCTATACCTTTTAAAGGCAACCTTAAAACGTATAATGTTAGATAGCAAAAAAACTGCGCTAAGGAATCAAATAACACTCTAAAAGCAACTGTGCTTAATAGGTGAGTACACCCAAAATAGGAAAAAATAAAATAGCACTGCGCTTCACAAACTCAAAAAATATTCCTAAAATGTGAGAACAATATGTTATAAAATTGTGAAATTATCACAAACTGATAAAACAATTATGTATTATCCACAACACCTGTGTTGCACAATGCCTGTGCTAATAATACTTTAAAAAAAACTCTTGGTCTAATGGTCTAGACACTATAAGCCATAATAAACATTGAAAAAACTGTGAATAACAAAAAACATATAGTTGTGCTAGTACATCTCATAGAATGTATACATATAGAAAATCCTATATTAAATCTCACAAGTGATGTACAACTCCCACTTAATCTACATATCCATATGTGAAGCCCATTACTTCTTAATGCAATTAAGTCCTTTAAATTTGTGAAGATACATCTTCCAACTTTTATAATCCACACCACGTCCGTGAATGCATAAACAATTAGTGAATCAGTGCTCTCCACCGTGCTCAAAGAGAAGGTCTGGCCGCACTCACCGACTCCTATTGCTCACCATATTTCAGATGAACAATTAGCACTTTGATGATATATGTAGAACCAAATCCTCTCCTTTGTTTTTTGATCCGACAATAAATTGGGGTATATTCCTCCCAACTCTGGCTTATCTTTCCAAAACCGTATAATACTATTCCTCCATCTTCCACCTTCTCTTGTACTCAGAGAGAGAAAAAATGCTTCCCATAGTGTAGTATGTCAAAGTAAATTTATTTAAAATGATTTAAATGCACTTACAATTAAAATAAGGCAATTGCACATGGATTGTGTCCACTGGAGCTCCCGTCTCTATGATCGTAATGCTCGCATGGATCCGCCCACCTGATGCATTTCGTCACTACTGACCGTCGCCTCAGAGGAAGTCAGTAGTGACGAAATGCATCAGGTGAGCGGATCCATGCGAGCATTATGATCATAGAGACGGGAGCTCCAGTGGACACAATCCATGTGCAATTGACTTATTTTATTGTAAGTGCAGTGTAAAAGAAAACCCCATCACACCAAATTATAAAAAACATTAGCAATCTGTTATAAGAATTTTACAATATTAGCAAAAAAAAAAAGTCCAGAATCCACATACATTGAATCACACCCTGAAGTGTAATAACAGTCCATAAATACAGGTTTGTTGGTGTCAAAGTTTAGAGACCCTGTGCATTGGTGTCATGAATGAGCAGATATGAGAGTGTAGAAGTGTCACTAAACCTGGGGCAGTGGGCAGGAAATCCAAAGCGTGTTTCCCAGGAGTCTAGTGACGCTCCTGCCACAATGGATTGTTTTTGTGGGTTTTTTTAAATATATTTATTGCTTATGATTACTTCAAAGAAGATTCCTTTCCATCTATAGAATCACTGTGCGTTAACATTGTGGTGCTCCTATATCTTTCTTTCTTGCCAATTGGTTGTATTAACTTCAGGTCCATCAGTATGCACTACAAGTTGAAAACAACTGGAAAATGTATAGGCATGTCAGTCAATTTTACAAGCTCTAACTGTAAACTGTAAAACATATTTCTTATAATTGCACTAAATATGGCAATCGCACAGGACTAGTGCCCCTAGATGGTGCTGAGGAGTATATTTCCTAGAGCCATGCGAACAGCATTCACACAGCTGTACGCTGGGTGGAAGTTTTATTTGTAAACCTGTCAGTGTTGGGTAATATCACACAATTCAAAATACCACTTCAGTAACTGTATGAATTGAAGCTCCCAGATGTGTGCGTGGATACAAAATTATTTATTTTACTTCAGCACATTTAAAACACAAAAAATTCAGTTTGTAGCAAGTGTTGGGTAATGTTTTACAATGATCCACATTGTGGCACAACTAGCTGTAAAAAGAATTATTGCCTTAGGGCTTGTTCACGCGACGTCCGGATTGTGTCCGGACCAGAACCGTGCGCTCCTGCACCCAAAATGCATCCCAATGTATCCCTATCTGTTTTATGGGCTACAGTTCTCACGTGCGCAGTCCGGTCCGGACAGAGAAAATACTGCATGTCACATTTAGTATGGTCCGGAAAAGCACGAAAGCGTCAAACGTGCCGAAAACGCACCGCACTGCAGCTAACATACTGACAGCCCCACTCCAAAAAAAAAATGCTGCATGCATAGCACCGTGTCTGCAGATCTGCTCCAGATCTGGGCCAGAAAATGGTGTGAACAAGCCCTATAAGAGTCCCGCAATTATTTAGCGTGCAAAATCACTTTTGTAACACCAAAACACTACAAAACTACTTTTTTTTTTTTTTTAAATGCCAGCCTGTGACAAGCATTGGGTGGTGTTTTACAATGCTACAAACTGCTACAATGACACATTGCTTTTGCTATTAAAAACTAAGTAGCAATAAATTGCTATTCAATACATTTAAGACCAATAAATTGCTATTGCTTTGAAAAAATAAACTCTTCTACAATACTATACAAAATGCAGTTTGAGACACGTTTCTGGTGTTTGGTTGGCTAGCTCTAAAAAAAAGAGTATATATTTTCACACCTTTTTTTTGCATTGTGTAAAAAGTACTAGGTGCAGTAACTTAAGGTGCTTTCAGAAACCTAAAGCGACACAGAAAGTCTGAGATCTTTCCCTTTCTGTGTCCATTCTTTCTTCCTTACTTCTTTTTACATTCCACTTCTAGCAAATTGGCTTGATCCTCACAAATTGAACTTTGGCAGACCAATTACAGCCCAGAAATGTCAATAATGTGTATGAAACTTGTAAGCTGACATGTTGTTTATAACTAAGCTTTGACACCTTTGGGCTTTTTTTTCTCCTCTAGGGTTAATTTGCTTGATATCCTTTTTGTTCTCTCTTATTTTTACAATGGGATCCGGAAATTATTGGCTTCAAATTTTTGACACCTTTACTGGTTCCTTAACGCTTCTTATAGTTGTATTTTGCGAAGTAATTGCTGTTACATATGTATATGGAATTGAAAGGTAAACAGCTTTTTTATTTATTTATGTATCGTAAGACTGACAGTGTTATAAAAAAATAAAACAACAGAGGCTAAGAGAGAACCATCTATACAGATATTGATGAGCTAAAGCAAATTTTTCTGGGACTGGCACACAATTTCGTACATTCAGTTTTCTATAAGTGAGCTTATAACCAAATATACATGTCTTGAGTTATTATCAGTGTCTGAATGGACTCCAAATATTCATTCCTAAAGATACTCTGTTGCTATAACTCAACAAAATGATCCTGACAAAAAGAACCTGTAAAAGATAAAAAGATAAAAACTAACCTTTACAGTGGACAGTGTAGAAACCAGGCACTTCTGCTTTCCAATACTTTTGGGTGTTTTGGATAGCATGTCTTCCAAGTTGCACTGGTTCCTCCTGCTGACTTCTGCATCACTAGTGTGTCATGCAGTGATGTAGAGGTAGGAAGGAACCACAGCAGCCATCGGGGGACATGTTATCTGACACACCTGGAAGTGTTGAATAGTAGCAGCACCCAAAGCTCTGCAAGAGAGCAAAGTTTTAAATATGCCTCCTGTTGGAGAGGTGAGCATTCTGCTTCTTGTGCAGGCTTGTGACAGTATTACTTCACTGAGTTAGAGACAGTTTATTATTGTGGTTGCAAAGATTAAAGCTGAACATACACATCCTCACTAAACAGCATGGATGGAAGAATCTCCACTGCTGGGCTATTGTATTTTGACAGACAGTGCCTTCAGAATAACCAAACATTAAACATTAATTAATAACTGATTAGCTGCAGTCACTGTTCGGCTGACAACTTTGCCCTGCCCCTGGGTTGAGCTGGGTGGTACCAGCAAGGCCACACACAGCTTGAATTTTGGCCAAGTCAACAGGAATTGGCCAGAATTCAAACAGTGCATGTCCAGCTTTACTTATGAAATATTCATTTTTTGTCTCTTATTTAGTTATATTTACTTTGTCTGAGTCTGATTGCTTAGCTTGGAAATACTGACTCACAGTAACACTAGAAAACATTTTCAGAGATTTGCAGGGCACTTGTCCAGAGATTTGTTTAGTGCCCTTTGCAGAACCACTTACAGTACGTGTAGCACATCAGCACTGGCCATCTGTAAAGGTCAACTCCAAATAAACCCACATTTGCTGTTAAACCTTCTTCTACCCATGTGCAGTCATAACACTCTAAAATATTTCAAATGCTTCTGTGACCAGAATTTTTTTTTTTTTGTTGTTTGTGACATCACATTAGTCTCCAAGTTGCTAGGAGGGAAGTGCACATCCTATGGATGTATGTGCACCTCACACAAAATGACCCACGAGGGGGTATCAACAAGATTGGTTGCTCTGCACACTAGGGAGAGAGCAGCAGCGACTGGTTGTCATAACCTAAAACAGCTTCTTGCTACAGAAATCACAGACAGGAATCACAAGTGGCTCCAGACAGCTGTGGCTGTTCAGCTTGTACAAAGTAATGGCAGACTGACAGCTGCCCCAGCTGTTCAACTGTGCTCAGAAGTAATTGCACATGGAGCAGGTTAGAGACACATGAGAGCCCATGGACACAAGCAGCTGTGGCCACTGTCATCCTGTCATTGTTTTGTACAGGCTGAGCAGCCTCAGCTGTCCAGAGCCACTTGTGATTCCTGCTGCAAGAATCTGTAGAGTTAAATGTCTCATGTGAATGAAGCCTTAGATGCTCAAGTTTGAGGTTGCTCTGCACAGGCAGAAATTGCTATATAGGAACCCAGAATGCGCTAAATTACGGTGGCTTGTTATTGGGAGTATTTTTATGCCAACTGGGTTTCATGACTTGTTCACACCATTAGCGCTGGGCTGTATTGCCCAACACATTACCTGTACAGGTATAAGGTGAATTATCTTATGTCCTATGGCTTCAGTTCACATCAATGTGCTGTGTCGGTTGCGCCTGCCTCAAGACTGGTATCTGCACAGGCAGCAGCCTTATCACTATGGCTGCCATTTCCTACTCTGTACTCTGGAGAGACCCAGCTCTGCCAATGGATATTGAACAAGTCCCATATCCAGCTTTAATTACACTCTGTAAACTTTTTATCTGACAGAACCAAAGTCCCCTGCATAATCTCATAATTTAGACAAGCACTGGTCTGGGTCTCTCCACTTCTCGAGAAGGATCACCCACAGCTATATGATTACAGACTATTACTAGAAGATGTATGGATGGTTTTCAATTCATTTGCTCATGCTTCTTTCTTAGCTTCTGAGATTTGTTGGCTAGGAAAGGAATTAGAGATGGCTGCAGAGTATGCAATACATTCCAAAACTCTGGCCTCTGAATTAAACTTGAATAACCAGGCATTGGTAGTGTTGTTCTGGTAAGGTTTATCTGATGACATTAAGAATGAGCTGGCTGCAGACACCTTCCATCTGACGTGGATGAAAACCAGCGCCCTATAGGACGTGTTTATTTGGCTCTGAACTTCGATAACCCCCTGCTTTCAATAATGAAGTTTATGCAGTTGGAATAGGCACAGATTGCGCCTAAACAGCTAGCTTTGCGTGAAAATAATAGGCTTTGTTATATTGCACAGAGGAGGGACATCCATCCTTTTCAGCGCCCAAACTTCAGTGCCTAGGGTATCTGAGAGAGAAATTCCTAGATGGTGTGATCTCCTCTCAGCATACTAAAACAGTTTTTTTCTGTCCAGCTCCTGTTTAAAGAGAACAGTTTCTGGACTCAAGCATTCTTGGCCTATGGCACAGCCAGAAACTTCATTGAGCAAGCTTTCGTAGAGACACATAAAATCCCTGTTGTGCCTCTGACTTAACCTCTTCAGATCTTTGTGGTATATGGGGCAGCAGGGCCGGCCTTAGGTCTTTAGGCGCCCTGTGCGAGAAAGCTTTACAGCGCTCCTCAGTGACCACACCCCTCAGTGGCCACACCCTTTAGTGGCCACACCCCCAGTAACCACACCCATTTATCACCCATATTTTTGGTAAAATATAAAAAGACGGGGTCACGTCGGAGCAGACCTGTCTGGCAGTATTTAAAACCACCATGCCCCTCACTATGCATCTGGCAACTATCCAAATGGAGGGCATCTCTTTCTACATATTACCCAGGTCAGTTAATCCTATTCTTTTGTGTCTTTCGTGGCTACAGTCCTGGGGGCATCCTACTTTCAGTGGTGCAGAGGCGGCTCTAGAGTTTGCGAGGCCTTAGGCGAAACCTAAACATGAGGTCCCACTCAGGCCTGTGGGGTTTTACCAGGGCTCTGTGGGGTTTAACCAGGCTGGTGAGACCCCGCAGAGCCCTGGTGAGACCCCACAGAGCCCTGAATAAATTAGGGCTCTGTAGGGTTTTACCAGGGCTCTGTGCGATTTCACCAGTCTGGTTAGACCCCTCAGTGCCCTGGTGAGACCCCAAAGAGCCCTGGTTAAACTAGGGCTCTGTGGGGGTCTCAGCAGGGCTCTGTGGGGATCTCACCAGTCTTGGTGAAACCCCACAGAGCCGTGGGGAGACCCTACAAAGCACTGATTTAATCAAGGCTCTGTGGGGTCTCACTAGGGCTCTGTGGGGTCTCGCCAGGGCTCTGTGGGGTCTCGCCAGGGCTCTGTGGGGTCTTGCCAGCTTGGTTAGACCCCAAAAATCCCAAAGAGCCCACCAGGGTAGGGTCCCAACATGGTTCTGTGGGGTTAAAAAAGGGCTGGTGAGACCCCAAAGTGCCCTGGTGAAACCCCACACAGGCCCGGTTAAACCAGGGCTCTGTAGGGTCTCACCAGCACCAGGGCTCTGTAGGGTCTCATCACCAGCCGGGTTCACCCCTCAGAGCCCTGGTGAGACCCCAAAGAGCCCTAGTGAGACTTCAAGAAGAACTGGTAAAACCAGTGCTCCGCAGGGTCTCACCAGGACTCTGTAGGGTCCCACCAGCACCAGGGCTCTGTAAAGCTCTCTACGGTCTCACCAGGGCTCTTTGG